CCAAAACATCGCCTGCTGCTCTTCTTCAAGAGGCCACTCCAGGTACGTCTTCGTGTTCATGATCTTTCGCAGTTTGCAGAACCTCTTGGGAATCGCTTTGCTCTGGATGGGCTCCAGGAGGACGAGAATTGCTGCATCGTTGTTCTCGTCAAAGAGGCGGAAGTGCGAGAAGTCCAGCTCGTATTTGCACCACTCGCTCTGCACAAAGTGCTCGGACAGCACAAAGAGCGTTTTGTGGCTCTTCTCTATGGAGTCAATGATGTTGTCCACGATCCACTTCCCAGGCACAAAGTCCCGCTTGTGGAGGCAGAGCCGAAAGGGGGGGCAGGCCTGCTCCAGCTCCCGCACCATTACGTTTTCCACCCAGTCGGAGTCATTCTCGCTGTAGGAGACAAAAGCGTCATAGCAGATGTCCCTGGGCGGGGCTCGCTTGGGCTTCCGCTTCGCTTGGAGCCATGCCCAGGTCATTCTCAGGTACCAGATCGCGTGGTACTTGTGGCTGACAACCACGAGGATGAGGATGACCAGGAACACCAGGGCGCAGATCAGTGACACCATGAGGGACCTGTGGCACTCCATCAGGGAGAGGTGCACAGCTCCCACCTGCGCCCCTCGCAGGGCCAGGGGAGAGTCACAGACATACCCATCTGGCCACCCCACCAGCACCTGGGCTATCCCGGCCTGGTGGTGGATGAAGGAGAGGAATTCACAGGAGCAAATGAAGTTGTTGTCACTGGCATCCAGCAGCTCCATTTTCTTGAAGGACTCAAACTCTTCCCTGGATAAACTGTTGAGCTTGTTTCTTCTGACTGACATGGCCACTAAGTTAGGAACGGGTGCGGCACCAGGCAGGGTCTTCAGCTGGTTTTTTGTGAGGTACAGCTCTTTGAGAAATGGCAGTTGCAATCCAAACTCCTTCAGGTTGTTAGTGCTAACGTCCAAAACTTCCAGCGTCAGGGGAATGCAAGTCGTTAGTTTAGGAATTTGAGTGCTGGAGAGGTTTAAATATTTCAGGGTTTTTGGCCATTCACACACATCTGGAATCTCACCAAAATTATTTTGGCTAATGTC